GAATTATTTCAGTGTTATAAAGTGTTATGTGTATGTAAACAAAAGTGACCTCTTTTATCACACACTATATTAGAACTGACTGGCCTACATTAAAAAGGGTTTTAAAAAATTCACATTTTTTTTAATTTTTAAAAATTACAAAAGAGAAAAAGAGTTTTTAAAACCGTCTAAGGTATGTTAAATAGATGAATAAAAATATTAATATAAAACTTACAGCTACTTGTTACAAATCCAAATCAGATTCAGAAGATGAACTTTCAGAACCAAGATTTATAATAACTGGCTCGATCATTTTATCAGTAATATTGTCCAGCTTCCACATTTTTTCCTCTTCTTTAATAGTGTGATTTACTGCCTTTTCCCAGTTTTCAGGTTTTACATTATTTACGGCCTCCAAAAACAACTGTTTAACATCATGAATTTTAAAAGTGGTATTTTTTCTTGAAACTTCACTCTTTATCTGTGCCCATACCAGTTCAATCGGGTTTAATTCACAATGATATGGTGGGGATCTAAGTACTGTCATTCCACGATTTTTGGCAATTTCATCAATTTCGTATTTTTTAAATTTTTCTTTATGAAGGGCACACAACGAATAAAGTTCCTTTCTTATAGATCCGGGATGGTACGTAATATTTTTTGAACTCAGCCAATTCTGCAAGTCTTTTTTTAACCACTTGGTTGTGGGCAGTCCTTCTATAAGTCTGGAGTGATAACTTGCATTATCCATTACTATTACACAGTTCTTAGGAAGAAGATCTATCATTTGTTCGAACCATTCTTGAAAGACATCAGCGTTCATGTCTTCATGGTAGTCACCGGTACGAGTTGATTCAAAAGTTAATAAACCACCTTCAACAAAACCGTCTGAACTGCCAATGTGTACTATTATCAGCCTGCGTCCCTTTCCTGATGGTGGGTTTAAACCAGTAGATAAGTTATTTACAAAAGCGTGCCTTTGACTTGTAACAGTTTCATCCTGCCAAAATTTATTTGGTGTATGACCCTCGTTGATCCATGTTTCATCAAGATAAAATATTTTTCTTTTTTGGTTTCTCATTTCCTTTATGGTTCTTAGAAAATGTCTTCTCCATATGACAATATCGCTTCTTTCTAATAAAATAGACTTTCTGGGATTCTTTTTCCAGCGGAAGCCTATTTCTTTTAAAAGTTTCCATAACGTACTTCGACTCATTTCTGGGTAATCCTTATCATCTCGAACTGAGACAAGAACTTTATCCAATGTTGGAAATTCTTGTCTAAAGAAGAATTCATGCACTTTCCGTCGAAGTCCTTCTTTAAAATGATATTCTATTTGAAATTTTGGTTTCCCTGGAGCATTACGTGGCATTTGAAAACTACCACATTTCTCTTCTTTAATAACTCTGTAAATCGTAGATTTCCCAACACCAAGTGTACTGCTAACTAACTCAACGGTCTCATCAACACTTTCACATAAACGTTTGTCTGTAAATGATTTAAAACAATTAAATATTAATGTTTTTTCATTAACTGTTAAAGGACCAATTTTTCGGCGTTTACACGGCACTTCCAAATTTTCCATAACACTAGTATACACAATAAACTGCACCTTGCAACTGAAGTACCTACTTTTAGTGAACTGTTAAGAATTTTGAATACGCCACTTGGACCTTCCTACAAAATGGAAAAACCCACTATCACATTTTCTGTGGAATAAGTTTAGAAGGTAATTATCTAGTCAATTACTGTCGTAGATTCCTGGAATTAAAGAATTAAATGTTTGATTGTTGAAACCCTTACTTCGTGGAATGCACTCATTTCAGATAAAATAAAACGTTTTATTTTATCTAAAGAATTAAACTTTATTTTGCAAATAGGTAGGTACTTATTAAACTTTTATTGGTTATATATAACCAATAAAATAAACATCTTACATTTCTTGCAAATTCATTAGTACCTGTTAACCTCCATCACTCCGACACTGGCAACCTTATTTAGGGATTAGTAACCCTCACAACTATTGTATTCTATTCTGCTCCAACCTTTATACCTGGTGGTCATACTCAATTTAAAATTGTTTTCCTATATACTTCTGTAAACTTGTTGACAAATATCTGTTTTTCATTGAGTCACCCGTATCAACAGTTTAGGGATTTGCATACATAATTTATTGTTTTATTACTCCTCTCAATACATATATAATACACTATAGTGAAATTTTTTTTATTGTTGAAATAAATAAAAAACCATAAGGTAACGTTTTAAATAATTTATGCCATATTAATTAATATGGGAACTTATAAAAACACTGATTATCTTCAAGAGTGTACAGTGTGAAAAGAGATTTTTATATATAAAGCTCGGATTATAGGCAAAATGCCTTTTTTTGCCTATTTTGCCTATTATAAGTGTTTTTTGCACTTTTTGCCTTTTTTCGTAAATTCCGCCTATTTGTGCCTTTTTTAAAATTTCATGGTACTACCCATGATATTATTCTATTACTAAACCATTCTATAATAAAATTTTGGGTCAATAATAAAATATCAATGGTTTGTTTATATAATAGATTTCTAGGAAAATGTACCTGATCGAGACTTGAGGTTAACTATTTGGAAATCCCTAAGCTTTATTAGTTTATTATCAGTTGTACAGTCGGTTACTGTATCAGAGTTTACTCACAAATTAGCAAATTGCTATATCCTAGTTTAGTTTTGTTGCGTATACCGAAAAGCAAAGAACACGTTTTAAAACGTTTTAGACATTTGTGTGAAAAGATGACATCTAAATTAAGGCTATGGATCGCACCTTATTCGGAACTTTCTCTAGAAGGAGATGGAGCATTTTGTAAACCATGCGGCAAATCGGTAAGTTTTATTTTTTCTCTTTTTTTCTCGTCCCACAACATAACTAAATTCTAAAGCGGTTTTAGAATTCTAATTATTTTTTTTTAATTCTCAGATTTCAAGTAGAAAAAAGTACTTTATTGACCAGCATTGTGGAACCCCACTTCATAAACGTAATTTGGAAAAATTAAATTCCTCTAAGTTAGCCCAAACATCTCTGCGGGATAGTTTAAGCAGTTCAAAAAAAAAGGAGGAAGACGCATTTAAATTTGATTTATGCCAGATGATGATTGCATCCAACATTCCTCTATATAAAGTTAATAACCCTAGTTTTAAACGCTTTTTGAAAAATATCTTAATAAATCCTTACCGGACGAGAGTACATTGAGAAAACATACTGTGGAAAAATGTTATGTGGAATGTATTTCAAAAATTAAGCACGAGTTGGAGGGCAATTTTTTGTATATTATCGTGGATGAAACGACAGATGTATGCGGCAGGTATATAGCTAATTTAATGATTGGAATTTTGAACGAAAACTTTGCGAGAAAACCTTATTTAGTTGCCGTTAAAGAATTGGAAAAAACAAACAATTTAACAATAAGTCGATTTATACAAGATAGTTTAACAAACCTCTTTTTACCCAACGCTATACCAGTGAATAAAATAGTTTTAATGCTTTCAGATGCTGCGGCATATATGTTAAAAGCTGCTGTTAATTTAAAAATTTTTTATCCTAATTTAATTCATTGCACTTGTGTAGCCCACGGGTAAATAGAATTGCTGAAGAAATAAGAAATCTGTTTCCGTTGGTAAATAATTTTATAAATTTTATGAAAAAAGTTTTTGTAAAGGCTCCGTTGAGGGTGCAAATATATAAAGAAAGACTTCCCGGTGTCCCTTTGCCACCTAAACCAGTAATTACAAGGTGGGGAACCTGGCTCGAAGCAGTCTTTTTTTACTTTGAACACTGCAATGAAATAGAATTAGTTATGTCAGAATTTGATGATGATATTTCCGAAGCCATTCGAGAAGCAAAAAAAATATTAAAAAATCCCAAATTGAAACAGGAACTCGGTTATATCAATGACAATTATAAATTAATAGTTACCACAATTACCTTATTAGAAAAACAAGAGATAAATTTATGTGAGTCAGTAAAATTAATAGATAATTTAAAGACGAAAATTAAATCGGCACCTGGAAGTAACGGTCAATTAATTTTTAAAAAAATGAAATATGTTTTCGACAAGAATGAAGGTTTTTCGTTTTTATCTAATGTTGCTAAAGTTTTGAATGGGACATTTTCCGAGGAATTTCAAATTATGCCAGATTTATTATCCGCTCTGAAATATGCTCCAATTACATCTGTCGATGTCGAACGTTCGTTTTCAATGTACAAATTAATTTTAAGTGATCGAAGACATAGTTTTAAGACCGAAAATATTGAAAAACATTTAGTTGTTTCTATTAATGATAAAATTTTAAGTGGTTACAATGTTTAATTATTAATTAACAGTTATTTAGTTACTAGTTTATTTATACTAATGTTATGATTATGATGTGTAAATATACTTGCCTTAAGTTAATATTACGTTAATTTACTTTGTACAATAAATAATAAGTTATATTCCTTTATTGCCTATATTTTGCCTAAATGTTAATATTCCTGCCTTTTTTAATAAAAATCTTTGCCTATATAGGCGCCTTTTTCTTCAATTTTTGTTGCCTATAAATCCGAGCTTTGTTTATATATATATATATATATATATAATATATATATATATATATATATGTATCCTTTCTGTGGTTTTCCAGGTTTGATTCCGCGTTAAATAATTTTGGCCAGACCCGGAAATCCACAGAGAGTACCTACATATAGCTCCTGCGGATATTTTAAGTTGATCTATGGGTTTTATAGTATTTTTGGTTTATCGTGCTAAGCCTTATTTATTTTTATATATTGTGTAATACATATTAAATATTCCGATTGTTATTGTGCATAAATAAACAATACAGAAAAAATCAAAAACGTAAAATCACTAAAACACACAATTCTCCAACTAATCGTTCAGACAATAGCGAAATCAGCGAAGATTTTTATAGATCCCATCAATTATCGATAAACCCCGTGATTACAATATCAGGCTCCTTGTCAATCTCACGAGAAACAAACGAAAACCGAGCGCATCATCAGCTTATCAAACAATTGAAGTTAACTCCTAATTCATACAACCTCGTCTTAAGTACACACATACCAGCGCGCTGTATGAAAAATCATGTGACAGACCGCAACTATATCGCTCATTACAACAGCTGCCTTCCAAGGTGTGGTGATTTAAAAAAACAGTGCTCCAATTTTTTAGTGTTAAGGGTGAGTTTTGATAACTTCTTTCGACATTAATTCAATCTGTAATAATTTTGACCCAAATGTGAATAGTTGTTCATGACCTTTCAACTTTTATCGTCGAGCGAATTCAAAAAACAATATCTCAACTTTAACGTTTATATTTTTGTTAAAATAATAATTTTTACGTAATTTAGAAACCGCTCACATCCATTTTTGTTAATACTTCTAGTTTTACGTATTAATTTAATTTTTATTTAAATTAGTAAATCACGTGTTTTATTTTCTGTATTAAAAACCGCACTGAAATATCATATAATAGTTTTTTGTATAAATGCGGTCACTAATTTGTCATTATTGGATAAACTTTTTGAAAAAATTGGTTATTTTAAAGAACATTTAAGTCACGAGTGATATTGCAATGATCAAATAATTATATCTTAATTAAATAGTAACTAACAACGACAAAGTTGACGCAGATCTAACAAGTAGAGCAAGGAAACCCACAAGATTTACTACACGATACATGATGTATTGTCGTGAAGAAAGAAATTTGTTAAATGTTAAAAATTCCAAATACAGTATCCAAACTATTACGATGTGTCTTAATATTTGTGAAAATTTTCTCGCTCGTCTCCACTACGCTGTAATACTCGATCCTAGATACTTAAAAGTATTACTTTTTACAATCATTTAACCATCCAGTTATCATTTTATTTGTAGTGATAACTCCATCTCCAAATGGATATTCTAAATACTATGTTTTTGTCCTACTAAATTTTAAACATTTTTTCCTTAAAGCTTGTCTCCACTGTTCTAGTTTTTGCTCTAAATCTCTGTTAGTCTTTTCTACTAACACTACATCATCAGCATGTGAGCACCAGAAAATTTTACCCTGTAGTTCCAACTGTATTTGTTTGAACACATAGGTTTCTGTTTGTCAGTTTCTCGTAGTACTAATACTAATTGCTCTTCCTCTCTCAGTCCTAATCCCTTTTGGGATGTGGTGATACTATCAGGCCTTTACATTTTTTAACGATTTCCCTCCATCCTTCCCTATCCTGGGATAGTTGTTCGGCTTCATGTAACCCTTGATTAATCAATATTTTTGTTTGATGTACCCAACGGCTTGGAGATCTTCCACTAGGTCTCTTTCCTTACGCCCTTACCAGCCTTAGTTTTGTGTGTATTGTTATGCTAGAATTTTTCCAAATTGTTACTAGTTTCATCATAACTGTTCTAGCAATATTCAACCTTCTACGTATCTCTCTGTCACACCCTCCGTCATTTGTTATTAGGGACTCCAGGTATATGAAACTATTTACTACTTCAAAGCCCCCAATTTCTTTAATGTATTGAAGATTATTCCGAGCTCTGTCTACTATCATGATCTTTGTCTTACTCCTATTTAGCTTGAGTCCATATGTTTTGCTTTTCTTCTCCAGACATCTCATTATGTCTTCCATTTCTTCTTGATTTGCCGCGATTATTAAAGTGTCATCAGCATATCTCAAGTTACTGATTTTTTCACCTCCTACTGATATTCCACCCTTCCATCCATCTAGTACCTTTCGCATAATGTGTTCGCTGTAGATATTAAACAGAGTTGGCTAGATAATGCATCCCTGCCTGACACCTGCCCTGTTCTGAAATGATCGAATGGGTGTTGTTTATTTTTACTGTGCACTTATTATTTTTATATAGACTTTGAATTAGTTGAATTAAGTGGTGGGGTGTCGCCATTTTCGCTGGTATGGACCATAGCTGCTGCCATTTGACTTTATCGAAGGCCTTTGTGTAATCCAGAAAGAACATAAGCATAGGAGTATTTTTTTTATTATTGAGTTAATGCCTCTACAACTAAGATCATTGGGATGGTACAGTCAGGTACCTAGTGTAGTGTGTGTGTGTGTGTGTGTGTGTGTGTGTGTGTGTGTGTGTGTGTGTGTGTGTGTGTGTGTGTAGAGTAATTGTCTTGATACTTAGCAAAGTCGACGTCATTGTCTTTGCTAAGAGACGCTAATTGTATCCGAACGTCTGCGGTCCCTCCGGTGAGTACCGATCGCACAAGGATAGAAATTATTTTCATTCATTAATTTTTAATAAACGAAAAATTTCTCCACCCAGATGAGATTCGAACTCACGTCCTTTAGGTTTAAAGGTAGGCGCTCTTACCACTGAGCCACAGAGGGGGTTTCATAAGAGTATTGAATTTATGAGTTTTTTCGATTGTTCTACATGAAGTAGAACCTTGCTTGCATGGGATATAAGGGTTACCATTCTGTAGTTGCTGCAATCTAGCGGAGTTCCTTTTTTAAATATAGGAATGAAAGTGGATGTTGTCCAGTCGTTGGGCCACTCTCCGGTTTCCCAAATCTTTTTGCAGATCATATGCATAACGTTTACTTCCAACATTTCCGGTCTCTTTTAAAAAGCTTTTTGACTTTTGGTTGCTTTTTCTACCTCTAACTTTAAAATGTTTGGTCTCTCTCTCTGCAGTGAACTCATCGTGATTTTCATTCTGGGGATCATCTGCATTATATACTTTGACAATATTTTCTCCATACCTCCACAATACCTTTTTCATCATTTATAATATGTTGGTTTTGATCCATTATTGTTTGTGTGATTGGTTTAAATTCCCTGGATAGATATCGCTCATGGGTTATATAGCTCATGGGATTCATACCGGTTTGCATGTCGCTCTAGTTCTTCACATTCTTCATTTACATGTTTATTTTTATCATCCCTACATGCTCTTTTAATTTCTTTATTTAACCTTGCTAATTACTTTTTGTTACTGTCGTTTTGATATATGAGAGATTTGTTTCTCCTTCGCTCTTCGAGAAGTTGCAGCGTTCTGTCTGTCATCCAGTGATGACAGACAGACTAGTTGATACTTTTCATAAACATCTATTACTATCTTCACATAATCACCTTGGACTACCTTCTTATTGAAAGATCACTACAGAATCTCTAAAGTGCTCCATCTTCTTCCTGTTTCTTCTACAATCGTCTTTATCTTTTCGATATAGGCCTCTCTCACTGCTCTTTAGTTTTCTCTATTCTGGAGTATGCCGTACCTTGTTCTTTCTCCCCATGGTCTCCATCTAGTCACATTTCCCTCCAGCGTTCTTCACTTCTAGCTATATGTCCGGCCTAGTTCCATTAAGTCTTTTTCCATTTGGTGTAGGAGCAAAAGTATATAATACTCATTTGTCTTTTGTATTATTTGTTTGACTGTGTGTAGGTGTTGTGTTGCACTGTAATGCCTCCTCAATCTTGCCTGCTTCTTTATTTGATATAGCTCAAATTTCCTTTCTAATCTATTTGTTATTATTCTCATAAACATCTTGTATGTTTTGAACACGAGTATCTCGCTAATTATCCAGATCTTTTAGATTATTTTGTAACTCCGAACCATTCATCTGGAATGTATTCTTCTGTTAGGTATCTGTTAAATAGATTTACCAATTCCCTTTTTCCTCTCCTTGGTACATTCCTTTAACATCTTATTATCCCCTGCGGCTTTATTGTTTTTTATTTTTTCTACGGCATAATCGATTTCTCCTATTTGAAGTCAGGTATTTCTTCAGAGGTTACATTCATTATACGTTTTCTATGTTCTGCATTACTGTCTTGCTATGTTTTATATAGTTCACTTTCTCTGTATTCTATAATAGTTCCATGTTCACCTTTTAGGCACCTATTTCCACCTAACCTGAGCTTATAAAGTACGGCTCAAAAAAATTACACCGGATGATAAAATGGATCTTTCAGATAGCCATAAATGGAAAACAGCTCCCAAAGGAATGGACGGAGGCATATATGACATCTATATTTAAGAAAGAAGATAGAAAACGATTCGAAAACTACAGAGGAATAAGCGTAATATTATCAGTAGGAAAATTATGTGGGAAGATACTGCGAGAAAAGATAGAGTAAGCGACAAAGGCATAGGAATTCGCGGAGCAATAGTGACCAAAGAAGACCTCAGTTACATAATGAAGAAACTACAAGAAGAATATACCAAGGCTGGCCTAGATATTAACCTCGCGAAAACAGAGTACCTATCTACAAGTGAAGAAGACATAGAAGATCTATAGTTTGACGAAAACGTAACAATCAAAGGAAAGGATAAATTCAAATACTTGGGGTTTATGATCACGAAAAAGATCACAAAAGAGGAAGAAACTAAGCAAAGATTAGGACAAACAATAACAGCAATCCGACAACTTAACTCAGTATGGTGGGATAGATACCTAAATATGAAGACAAAAACACAATTTATAAAACATTAGTGCGAAGTATTATGACATATGGGCTGAAAATTGGATTAAAAACAAGAAAAACAGCAGTAAGATAGTAGCAACAAAGATAGAATGTAGTTTGCATTGCAGACTAACAAGAATGGATAGGAGAAGTAATGACCAAATAAGGCAAAGAACATCAATAGAAACAGATATACTAACATATATAGAACAAAAAAAGACCAAAGTGGTATTGACATGTAAAAAGAACTAGCGACAGAATAACCGAATGGAGCCCCATAGGAAGGAGGAAAAGAGGACGACCCCGAAGATGCTGGAGGAACAATGAACAACAAGGAACGATGGAGAATTGGACAACAGAGAGATGAAAACGGTTGAGCGAGAGAAGGCAGTGAATACTGTAGAATCCCTGAATATATATATACTTTCCAGGCTTATAATTTCGTTTTGCGATGTCCTTCTTTTAAAAACCCTCACTCCTCTGTTCTTTTCAATAATATTCTTTACTAGTCTGGTGTTCTGGTACATAATTTGTGATACTGGGCAACAGTTCGGTTTAACAATAAACATAAAGAAAACAAAAACCGTGGTTTTCATTAAGAGGGGTAAAGTTATAACAAGGATGCAGATAAAAAATGAAGATATTGAATAATTATAATTTCTACTCCTTTGTTCTGCTCATTTTTCCATGTGATCGGTTTTTAATATTAGACATTGTTCTTAATACACAAGAACTCTATACCCATCGTTACTACA